ACACACTCTTCCACAGACATGTTGAGGGAAAAGATCTGTAAAAGGCTTGATATTAAACAAGTGAATACGAGAGGAACAACACACGAGAGACAGATAAACAAATGTCTCATCCAAACACGTGTCTATAACCAAACTCAAATGATTAAAGGATCTCAATTTTTTCACTTTGGAGGAAAGGAGAAACAAATAGTATTTAAATCTTAGAAAAGAAACACCTGTAGTCTCACTCTTTATTGATTCAGGTACTATTTATCTCCTTGTATATTTCCCCCCAACTAAACAAAAATAGTTTCTATTATATTCCATTTCTTTTAGGAAAAAAATCAAACATACCCTGCCTGGGAGGAAAGCCAAAATGTTGAAAAAATGTGATGAACGAGAGTAGACGTTCACTGAAGCAGAAGCACTGAACAAAAAAGCAAGGCAGGAGCATGGTAATGCTTTTATTGTCACTGGCAAATCTGAAGTCTGCTACTTATTAAAATAAAATCACTTGGTTTATTTTTTTTTCAGGTTAATAGTTAACTCCACATAAACTGAATGGCAGAGATTTTTAATTAAACGTCCTCTGCTGTCACAACCTGTGACAAAATGAATAAGCTAGAAAATACAAGAGACATCCGCAGATATATCTGGTTGACTCCACTGTGAAATTCCTTAAGGTGTCCGGGACATTCAGAGATATGACACAGATCTATTGGAAGATTCATGATTCAAGGGATACCAAGTGGTAGATGCCAAAACTTCTAAGATTATACTTACATTTACATTCTGGGTACTAAGTGAATGATAAGCAAATTCTTGTCACCATCCTGAGTGGTACAGCTGATACATTAGAGGGAAAGGATGTCATCCAGAGTGACCTGAACAGGCTTGAGAGGTTTGCCCATGTCAACCTCATTAAGTTCAACAAGGTCAAGTGCAAGGACCTGCAACTGGATCAGGACAATCCTAAGCAGATACAGGTTGGGTGGAGAATGGTTTGAGAGCAGCCCTGAGGAGAAGGATGTGGGAATGTAGGATGATGAAAGACTCAGCATGAGCCAGCAATGTGTGCTTGCAGCCCAGGAAGCCAACTGTATCCTGGGTAGCATCAAGAGAAGCATGAGCAGCAGGTTGAAGGAGGTGATTCTGCTCCTGTATTCTGCTCTCGTGAGACCCCACTTGAATACTGCATCCAGATCTGGAGCCCCCTATGCAAGAAGGGCATGGAACTGTTGGACTGAATCCAGAGAAGAGCCTGAAGATGATCAGAGGGCTGGAGCACCTCTCCTACAAGGACAGGCTGAGAGATCTGGGGCTCTTCAGTCTGGATAAGAGAAGGCTCTGGGGGGAACATACAGTGGTTTTCAGTATCTGAAGGGGGCCTAGGAAACCTAGGGAGGACTTTTTATTATGGCATGTAGAGCCAGGACAAGGGGAAATGGCTTTAAACTGGATGAGGATAGATTTAGACTAGATATTAGGAAGAAATTCTTCACTGCAAGGTGGTGAGACACTGGAATATGTCACCCAGTGAGGTTGTGGATGCCCTCTCCCTGGAAGCATTCAAGACCAGGCTGGATGGGGGCTCTAAGCAAAGTGGTCTAACAGAAGGTGTTCCTGCCTATAGCATGGGGGTTGAAACTAGATGATCTTAAAGGGCCCTTCCAACCCAAACCATTCTATGATTCTACAATCCACTTATCTCCTGTGATTTGACTGGGTTTGCCAGTGAAATAGTCAGTCACTTTCAGCATGCACCATTAAACAGAATTTGTTCTGTCCTTCTCTCATTTAGCTTGGAGTGATCCTGTTTCCATGAGAGGCTGTGCAGCTGTGCAGGTGCCATGCCACATCCAGTCTAGCAAACCTGGTCTACCAAGAATCCCATCAGCATGAACACAGATCCTACATCTGGCATGCGACCTGCCTCATGGACTGGCAATGGGAGCTTGACTCTGTACATTAGTCTCTGATGTTAATCATAAAATCTTTAAGTTTGGAAAAGACATCTAAGGTCATCTAGTTCAACCATCAGTCCATCACCATCATGCACGCTAAACCATGTCCCTCTGTGTAACATCTATCCTTTACTTGAAAACCTCTAAGGACAGTGACTCCTTCAGCTCCCTGGGCAGCCGGTTCCAGTGCATTACCACTCCTTCTGAGAAGATAATGTTCCTAATATCCAACCTGAAAGGCTAACATCAGCCATTTCTTTCAGGAGATGTACGTCTGGACTGGGGATTAAACTGCTTCTCACCTTTAATATCATACGTTCAAGTCTGAGCTTGGTTAACACCTGTTAACATCAAGACTTCTGGAAGGACTCCTGTGGGGTCTGTAGATGCCCAAATCTCTCTAGATCCACCTCAAGTACAATTCTGCTGGCAGCAGCCAGGTTACCCTTCGCCACTCTTGCCTTCTGCATTTTTCCATCTTGTGTTCTGGGGTGCTGGGATGATGCAGTGCTTCCCATTTTTGAGGGGTACCTTAGCAGTGCTCTGCTCAGGCAGGTTTCTGCATGCAGAATGTTCCCTCTGAGGCACTGGGTGAACTCTCTGTAAGAACACAGAAATGGAAAAAGCGATGAAAATAATCCAATGTGTTGTTGGGCTTTTTCAAGCCTTTGCTCAGAATTAGAGCTTTATATGGATTATAGCTATACAAAAATCTCTTCCTGAGCTTTTCTACAGTTCATGGCAGCTCTGTCTCCTTCCCTCAAAAGGAAGGTATCAGATCTAGCTACCCAAAGTACCCTGCTCAGCCAGGAAACGAGTAAATCCCAGAATCAAGTGGATAAATTAATCCTCTAAAATGCTATAGTCTGTTTTCTTGGCACTGCATAAAAAGTAAGTAAGTAAGTAAATAAATAACCACATACCTGCTGCAGCACTCCTCTTAACAGTCTAAATTAGCAATTGTGTGGAGTTCAACACAAGCCAGCTCTTTACTCTTACAAAGAGCCTTTAACTCCCATGGTTTTGCTGAAAGCTCAGGAGTTGTTCTTCCACACCTGTGTGGGTTTATTAATGAGGAAAGCATTTGTGAGAGCTACTCTGGCTGATGTGTGAGCTGCAGAAACCCTGCCTGTCAGATCTGTGGCCAGTGTGACCTGCAACAGCAAGCTCAGCCTGCGTGCACTTAGCTCACTGTCTGGGACTCATTTAAAGCTCTTTGTTTTCATTATGAGATGAAGATTTGCCAAACCTAGTACTTCTATGTACTGACAGCTTAACTGCTGATGTCAGATTTTGTTGAAAAATGAGTTAATTTACGATTGCATGAAATGTTTGTCAAAAAGACAAAACACTTGGATCTGTTGGCAGTATATAAGACTATAAATACTGGAGAACACAGTGACAGGAGCCAACATTTATTAAAATTATGGCCTGTAATGTTTTCAATAACCTCTTTCATTTGTTTATTATTAGTTTGCATCAGGAGTTTTCTAAAACCATATGATCCAGGCAACCAGAGCACTCTTAGGATACAAGGGGACAGCATGAAGGACTTGGGAAGGTGGGAAAGTAGAGATGGGAGAGAAGTCTGTCATCACATTCAGTCATTTTTGAAATCCTCCAGACTTATGTCCCACCACTTCTTCTGCCAGAGGTGCTGCTCCTTGTCTTGTGACTTTACAATGTCTTCACTACTGTTGCTGAGATAGCAATCATGGACGAGTCATAGGATCATTAAGGTTGGAAAGATCATTAAGATCATCTACCAGCCTTACACTTAAAGGCTGATAGATAAAGCACAGAAGAGGAATTAGATGGGCAGAGAAAGCAAACAAACTATTCACCTAAAGGTAAATCATGACTGAACCAGACCTTAGGTTTCTTGACTCAAAAAACTTAGCTCCATGCTCACTAATTCTTCTTCAGTGGCTTTCACCCTGCCCATACCTGCTTCATGTTCATTCCTATCCTATTCTAATGTATACTGATCTACTTTTATTTATACTTTTTTCTTACTCTCAGAGAAATTTCCTGGACTCCTTGTTCTTCTATCTTGTTTTCTCCTTCACTAATGTTTATTTCCTGTCAGTGGCCTTCAGTGAGAATCCCATTTGTGGCTTTCATTTCATAGAATCATAGAATCAATAAGGTTGGAAAAGGTCTCTAAGATCATCTGGTCCAACCGTCCGCCTACCAGCACTTAACCATGTCCCAGAGTAATACATCTACGTGTTCCTTGAATACAGAAATTCTTCCCTTTTCACAGAATCTTGGGAGTTGGAAGGGACCAACCTCCCCTGCTAAAACAGATTCCCTGCAGTGGGTTTTCTTTACCATTTCCATGTCTCAAGTTGCTCTGCACTATAATGGTCTAGAAAGGGAAGACTGACCATCATGAAATCAGAAGAATTCCAGACAAGCAGCATGGCAGAGCCACTCCACTGTCAGTGCATGGGACTTTCCACTGCACTTGTTCCAATTTTCCATTTATCTTGGTATCAAGTAGACTGTCTGCTCATTCTTTTAGGGGACTTCAACATCTTGCTCAATAGATAATCATTGTCATTTAAGGGCACTCCTATTCCAAAGGCACAGCCTTCCTTCTGCAGAGTGTGTAACCCTGGTCAGATCCTCTTGGATCAGACACAAGTCAGTGTCATGCAGTCACTTCCACTGATTATTTGACTGAGTATAAGGAAAAAAAATTTTACAGTAAGGTTGGTGAGGCATTGGAGCAGGTTGCCCAGTGAGGTGGTGAATGCCCCATCCCTGGAGACATTCACAGTCAGGCTGGATGTGGCTCTGAGCAGCCTGATCTAGATGTAGGTTCATTGCAGGGGAGTTGGATGAGGTGACCTTTAAGGTTCTCTTCCAAATCAGAACAATTCTTTGATTCTACTGGGATTGCTATGTATTTAGTAAAACTCCTCTGTTAATTTGAATTTTAAAAAAAGTTAAGCCATTATTTCTCTTTTGTGTATTCCATACTAAAATGTCAAGGTCAAAGCATGAGTTTTAAGGAAAGACTGAATAGGAGATATACTCTTCTTTGCCATTTTGAGTCCTTGGGCTCAATTCAGTTTCCCAAAAATAGGTAGGAAGTTACATTTGAAATGCCTGTGGTATTTGAGGCAGCTGCCTGAGTAAGACACAGGAAAGGTATCTTCAGGCAAGATCTTTAGACACTCTGAAGTGATACTAAATGCCTTTACTCAAGAAACTAGCTGATGCCTACTTTTGTGCTAGGACCAAAACAGGAGTATAGGAGCACATGATCACAAGCAGTTATCTCTTGATAGATAGCAAGGAACAAACTGACATGACTAAAACTTCTAAGTTAACCACTTGCCTCCAGCTTCTGTTGCTCAAGAGAGTAACAACTCAGTCTCTCAAAGACTTCTCCTACTCTATGTAACCAACTCAAGCAGAGAGCTAAGCAAGAGAAAGAATATATTCAGCATGTTTTCCAGGATTTTGAGGAGAAACATCGGCCATCACAAATACTTTTCTGGGGGACTGGAAAGAAAATCTACCTAGATGAACTGGCAGTATAAAGATGTGGTCCACTGATCTTGAAAGTGTGAGCAGTGAGGCAAAGAAACTGTGCTAGCAGAAACTATTCCTGTACTTGGAGGATCACAATAACACTAAATACAGTTTCTCATTGGGACTGTTGCCATGAAAGTGTACTTCAAAGCTACCATATAGACTGCATAACCTTTCCCAGAGTCATTAAACTCAGGCCCTATTTGAGGAACTAAGATGTGGTATCCAGCAACGCTGCCCTTAGAAGTCCTCAGTGATGTGTCAGTCACATTTTTGAAAAATATTTGTGATCCTAAATGTTTTGCATGAAGTTCTAAACATCTCTCTTCACAAGTTGCTTTACCAGCAAACTTCTAAGGTCACCTCTACACTCCTTACCCCCCTCCCATGAGCTGTGCAGGAGATGTCATAGTCACCCAGTTACCAAGGAAGGAACTTCATTCTGCTCTTAAAATCTTAAGATTTTAAAATCGGTCTCTGCCTTTTTCATAGCCATTTTGCCTGATGCTGCTTGTTAACTCAGGACTCTGGAAGCTGGATCACCAAAGACAGCCAGCTATTGTCTGTGCATTGCTATCACAGGGTTTTTTTTTTATACCCTTATTAAAAGGATGGAGTTGAAGTTGAAAAACATGTTCTTTTCTCCCTCTCGATGCAGTGTCTGGTAGTGCATCCATTGTGACATCTCAGTGCTTAAATACCAGCGTTGTTCTTGCTGTGTGCCTCGGAGCATCTGAGTATGGATGTCGATTACACATGAAAGGAAAGGTCTTAAACTAATAGTAACTTACGATATCATTTTAAGGAACATTATAAATCCATTTTTAGCTTAAAATTCAATTATAATTATATATTGTCATCCAAACAAATTTGAGGAAAATTTTATGATTAGAGTTGTTTTGCATTGCACGGATCTTACAGGACAGTCATAACTTGGGATATTTCATGGCATGACTGTAGAGCATTAGAAAGGTTTAGTTTCATTTCTTCAAACTGTGGGTATACAGATAAATTCTGGAAGTTGCTTTTCAAGTAGGTAGCTCAGAGTCCCAAATCTTTTACATTCTTAGTAAGTAGAAGTTCGGCCTTGAGAGCCTATAGCAAATATGAATAGCTACAAGTTGGCTTCCTAGCTTGTAAATGAGCCTGCTGCTTTCCTCTACACTCCTGACACCAGCCTCGTAGATATGGCAATGAAATAAAGAGGGCAGCAGCTGCATAGCAAATTCTTCCTCTGTGCATGTGGACCAGGACCGATTGAGCTAAGCAGTGAGGATAAACTACAACAGCTTAGCTTGCTCCCCAGAGCCACTGTGAATTTGGATTACCACTGGTTCCTCCTTTGCTGCTGAGGTTCAGTTGAGTCAGATGCATATCAAGTTACCAAAGCAGTTCTGAAATGGAGAAAAAGCAAGATTAACAGATTTTTCATCCTCCTTTTATCTGGAAACCTAATATGAAGTGAGGTAGTAGGTTGGCAGGCCACTTTAAAAATCACAGTTAGGTAAGATCATAGAATCATGGTATCATAAGGGTTGGAAGATCTGGAGATCAAGCCCCACTCCCCAGTTAACATGACCAAGAAAGATCACTCATGCTGAAGTAACGAGAGAAAGTGAGCTAAATAACCCAGTAATGACTCTTTCCTCACTCACAATTCTCCCAACAAGGAAATTATTTTTCATGGTTTTCAATACCACAACACAGCTGAAACTCAAAGGAAACAGCTCTCTCTCTCGGAAATTCATTACAGTGAGAGCAATGCATTGTGCAAATTCCCTATCCTGGAAAGGGCAGGCTTCATCTGGCCTCCTTTATATGTGTCCCGTGCAGACATACATGTAAATTCTGCTTATTAAAAAAAAAAAAAAAAAAAAAAAGTTTGAGATCTTGTACCTCAGCCAAGATTCGATGTACTTTTCATTGTCAGCAAATTGGAAAATCTCAGCGTAAGTTGGAAGTTGAAATAAATGAGCTCTGAGCTCTCTTCCTCAGTGGGAGGATTTATTTTGTCTTTTCTTCTCGGCTGCTTGTGATTTTTTATTTTTTTTCCTGAGCTTCTTGCCTGTACCTTCACCCTGTCGCAAGCTGATAAAAAAAGCTTTTGATGGTGCAGGTTGTCAGGGAACATGGAGAGCTGGGCACGCTGGTTGCCCAGCTGAATGTATCACAAGTAAATACCTTCTAGTGAAAAAGGTGAGAGAGATCCAGCTGCATCTGCACGTGCGAATGCCAAAGCTCCATTTCTAGGCACAGGAGACTGGACTGCTCTCCTACTAACAGCTACACTGTGAAGTGAAGAACTGGCAATAAATTAGATGAGACAGAGCAAAGGAAGAAGAAATGATTCCCCCTATCATCCTCACTGACCTCCTCTCCCAAGGTTTCAATCAGCTGCTGCGAGGCTCAGGATAGCAAATCCTAATTTGGGTGTGTGGCTTTATAGCAGAAGCCTTGCACCTGGGGTAAGTGCTCAGGGCTCCTGCAGGGAAGAAGGGGATTTAGATTTCTCTGGAAAGAATCTATCAAAGCCACGCATGAAAGCTGAGAGCACCCATGCTAGGAAATAGGAAACACTAAGCACAGATTAATCCCCCTCTTCTTCAGGATCTAAGTGTTTTAGCACAACATTCAGCAAAGCTTTCTCCTTCAAAGAACGCTTGCTATCACAATGGCTGCTGGAATTGCAGGGCTCTGCCTAGAATGGAGAAGATCTAGAGGGAGAAAAGTGTACAAAACCTCTGGGACTACAAGCCAGGTCAGAGAAGTTGTTAAAGCCCCATTCCTGGAGGCATTCAAGACCAGGTTAGATGGAGCCATGCACAACATGATCTAGTGCCTGATTTAGTGGTTGGCAACAACTGCTCCTGAGGCAGAGAGTTGGAACTAGATGATCTCTGAGGTCCCTTCCAACTCAAGCCATTCTATGATTCTCTGCATTTCCCCATCAGATAGTTTTCCTGGGTAAGATCTTCTCCCATAACTGTTCCCAAAGGAAAAGCCAGGAGTATGGAGTTAACAGCAAGCTGGGCAATGTCAAAATCAAAATCTTAACAACAGTCTTAGCACTAAGGGGATGTTATTTTGAAACTATGTGGAAAAACATACATGAAAAACAGGCTATGGTAATGAATTTTAAGATGTAATTTAATGCTACTCATAGCTGGGGAGCATAATCTCTCAGACTGATGAACAGTCTAATTAAGACTAATTTATGAATAATAATTCAATCTAAGTAGCATGTGTGTATATGTGTGTTTGTGCAAATAGTGACTCTGTCTCAGCACTTGCTAATCCTGTGGGTGTTTTGGAAAGGGTGTTAATGAACCATAAAGCACAGAGATCTATTTGTCTGACAGTGCTTCATAATAAGAAAAGTAAATGAAGTGTAAAAAAAGGGACTGGATATGAATGTATTAAGTTAGCATTGCTGGTCCTTTACACTCATATGAAAAGAGTGCACTCATATGAAAGGAGTGCAGGTACTCTACTTGGTCTTGAAATGGCTTTGTTTTAAGAATCACACACCAAATTCTTTCTGCAGTTATTAAAAATATTTTTATTTGTCATATTGAAAAAGCTATGAATTCCCAAGAGGAGAAACAAGAAAAAAGAAATCTTACCTATCATTTGTTGTGAAGCAATTGTTGCAGATCCGGCATCGAGGCTTTGTATACTTTTTTTCTGTGATTCTTATCTCTTAAACAAGTGTTTCTAAGCAGGATTAGATTTATATTGCTGATAATGTTTAGGGCAATATTTCTGGACATACTGCAGGAGAAACCAAAAGAAGAAAACAAAATGTTTCTATTTCTTTCTTTCTTTGCAAGGAACATTCTCTAAGAACTTTGTTGAGAGACTGCTTTGGTATGATTGGTGTCTCCTTTTTTCACTCAGACAAGATGTACAAGTAGAACACAAATAGCAGTAGAAGAATTATCACATCATATATAGGATATTGGAAAAGTCACTACTGCAGTGCTGTATGCAGTTTTCATGCCTGTGCTTTAAAATTAAAAAATAAAAAAAAAGAGAGAGAGAAAAAAAAGAAGTTGAGAAAAAGGAAGATTCTTAGCTGAGAGCTAAAATATTTGCTTGGGGTCTGGCATGCCTTCCTAAAAGATGCTACTTTGATGAGCAGGTGAAGAGACAGAAATTATTCTCTTTGGGTACATTTAATATGAATTAGGGTGTACAGATCCCCAAATTCATAAAGACTACCATTTAAAGATGAGGCCTCCATAGTTTTCTTTAATAAACATTCAAGTGAAGGGTTTCCTGTAGAGAAAGAGTGGGAACAGTGTCTTCAGTACAGGAACAAAGGATGCTGGTTGTTGGTTTAATGCAGCTTTGGGAAAGGAACTCTAGTGGAAATCCAAATCCCAAGTAATGGTACAACACTGGGAAGTACCAGCAGTAGGATCCTTATTTTGCGTGACTTTTCATCTGACAGTTCAGATGGGATCAAACCCCAGTTGAGAAAGTTGTGTCTGTAGCCCAAAATCTCATTATGATGCAGTTCAAACTAGTTTGTACAGAGAATGTACTCTAAAGTGCCATTTAGCTAACCAGTCAGTGTCTTTTTTAGAATGAACTGAATTGCTCTTTTTGACTAAGAAAGCAATTCATTTTCCTTAAAGTAGATGTGTAGAGCTCCTTGAAATATCCTAGGATATACACAGTACACTCACGCAAGGCTGGCAGATACAACATAGGGTTTAGAAAGAATTTATGTCCTCCTAGATTGGCATGAGAAGACCTGGTAGGTTAAACTGACATCTCTCAAATGACACTCAACACACATGTTTAGACAACTGAATGAAGTCTTAAATCTCTGATCATAACAGAGCCTTAGCTAACACACATAGTTGTTGGGCAGTAGGAAAATTCAGACATTTTATGCTTTTTCTTGTTCAGGCCAACAGATCATGATGAACAAGTATAGTGGGTGGAGAAGTCAAGAGGCACATCAGAAAACCCATGTTTGGAAAGAGTGCTGCAAGAGGCTATCTAGGGTAACAGTGTGAGTCAGGAGAGGCTTCTATGCAGGTTACATCACTCATAATCCTTCCCTTCAACCTTTCTTCAGATCAAAATCTCCCACACTTCTTTTCATACTAACTTGTAACCATCCAGTCATTCTTTCTTCTGCACAAATAATTTGCATTCTCATCTCTCCAGACTTCATGTTGTTTAACCTTCTGTCTTCTCTGGAAATAAGCAATCATCTTTTTCCTCCGCTAAAAAGACTTTCATCTCAACTTCTTGCAAAGTAGCTTCTGGTCCTGCCCATTACATCTGCCTTTGAGTCACAGGCCAGCATTCAGCAGGGATTCCCTTGACCCTCCACTACCACAACACGTGCCCTTCCTCTCATCACTTTACAACCCTTTTGTCATTGCATCCCTTCTGCAAGTTAGTCTTACTCATAACCACATGTGGATAAAAGCATGTGGAAATAAAGCATAGATTGAGAAGTTTTCAGCCTATCGCCTCAAAGAAGCATCACAGATGTTTCATTGATGGGGAAGAATCATAGAGTCATAGAATCAGTACAGTTGAAAAATACTACTATGATCATTTAGTCAAACAATCAACTTATTACCATCATGCCCACTAAACCGTGTCCCTCAGTGACATATCTACCCTTTTCTTGAACACTTCCTAAGACAGTGACTCCACTGCCTCCCTGGGCAGCCTGTTCAAATGTCTCACCAGATGCTTTGAGGAAGCCAAAGAGGAAAAAAGTTGAGTAAAAGAAATTTAAAAAATGATGTGCAGTTCCATCAATGAGGCCTACTGCTAGAGGCCTCTATACATTTCATAGAGTATAGGAGTGAACAGCACCTATTCCTGTAATTAATTAATTCTGTTTTTGTTGAAATTTCTGAAACTCAGGCAGTACCATAAAGAGATTCAGAGAAATACTCAAGCACAATACTCTTATAAAGCTGACTTCACTCTATTTAGTCTTCTTAATAGTTATTTTTAATACAAAGTCAATTAATTAAAAAAAACTCTTTGATCTTTCAAGCAACCATAAACTGAGTTTCTCATATTCAGTTCAAGCCATATTCTTTACCAGAGATGCAGTAGAAGATAAGAATCAAGGCAAAGACGATGTATATCTACCTTTAGTGCATTGTTCACATGAGGTATTTCACAGTACTCAGCAGTAGCATCTAAAAATAGGCATCAAAACGGGGGAATATATATATACACAAATGTATATATAGACACATAAACTTTCAGGAGAAGTAGCTATTTCAAACAATGAAGCTATGGGGAGAAGATGTGCCCCCTAAAGCAAGATGTAGCAAGAGTAGGGAGCAGCTTGATGCTGAATTGCTAGTTTTTTGAGAGAAGGGGGAAAGAGATGGGGTGTGATGGGACAGTGTCATAGTAGAAGATTTCAGTGGCAGATGAGTGAACACCAGGTTGGGGTTATGTTGGGTAAGTGAGAGCAAACTTATATCGTGCTGGCTCCAGTACAGTACAAATATGGGGAATGCTCAGTATATGCAGTGCCCTGCTTCTCTGCTTTTCTTAAAGGGATGCTGTTATTACTGGGAGGGCAAAGCAGTTTATAGAAAGGAAATTATTCTGGACAAATGCTGCGTGAAAGCATCAACTGTTCTCTTAGGGTATTGCTGCAAATAACTGCCTGCTTTACAACCAAGCAAATGAATTTGGTGAATACAGGATTATATAAGGCTTACAAAGGCATATTAAGATGTGAGATAGGAACTCAATGTGATCTACAAAAGAACCAAAGAAAAAAATCATAGAGGATTATGCACCCACCCTGCTTGTCTCCTGTTGCAAGTGCTTCAAGGCACCCTTATTCATCTCTGTATGCAGAAATCCCTTAGAAAACTCCCCAAGGCTTTAATCATCGCCCTCTAAATGAAAATCGAACCTTGACTTCAGGTTCCAAGCCAAGAAATGAATCATGAGTGGAATTTTTCCTCCAATTTTCAGCTACTCTCTAAGATCCCCTTCTCCCTCTCAGCATCTTCTGAGAGACACAGGCTGTACTCACAGAGCACAAAAAGGCACTTTTTTTTTTTTTTTCTTTTTTTTTCCTGGAGGAAAACAAGCAAAACTGAGCCATCAAGACAGGGCTGCATGTGTTCACTGATCTGACACATTTTGACTGATCTCTCTTTATCTCTTGTGTTCCTGTCTCAGCTTTCCTTCTTTGTCCTCGACTTCCATTGAAATCTACAGAAAGTCACTTATCATGTCCTGAATGTTATTTACAATCAGCAAACTTGGGTTTGGAAGGCTTAAATATTTTCCCTTAGAAGTGTGCTTTGATTGTGGAAAAAGCAGGGACCTTAGAAAATTTCAGAAAATATCTTCTTGTTTTTGAAGAAATGAGGCAAAGGATAGAAACAGATTTATACTAAT